TTGCTCTGCTGATGTAGCCCTCACTTAAGTGAGGGCACAATGGTAATCCTTGTATATCTTAGAAGAGTATAAATTAAAGAAGGGCCAACTAGAGGTTTTGAGATTTTTCTCTCTAGTTCGGTTGTGACTTTTCTCCTTTTTCTTCTCTTTCTCCTTCTCATTCTCTCTCTCTTTTCCTTCTCTTTCTTCTGATCTGAACATATACAGACATCTAATATGAGTTTTATCAGAAGTTCATATGCCCTGGGCTATCTTGCAGTCTATAACTCTTATATATAGATGCAGACAATCCTCCTTCCTTGATGGCTAAGAGAAATTTAAAGGAAAAAATGGAAAGGAAAAGGATTGGTGCTGATATTGGATCCCAAGTTTTGGATGGCTCTTTTGGCAACAACTTGTGGTTAGCATGTGATCTAGTAATGGATGTGTAGTCTCCCATATCCTGACTTCTTGTAGTTTTAGTAGAAATTACTGATTGCAGATTTAGATGAATTCCTTGTGAAGAGAAAGAAGAAGAAGATGAAGAGTTTCAGCAGTAGAGAAGAAAAGAGTAGGAAGTCAACCAGAATTGAATTAGATCTGGCTGCCAACCCCTCGTTATAATTTATACTTAATTTGAATGAGATATTACAAGAACGCCCTTAGTAGGGTGGCTATTGAAGTAGTTGAACAGTCACAACTTAAAAACATAAACTAATGGGCCTAAAGCCCAACAACTTCCTAACTTAATAACTTAAAATAAGAATAAAAAAACAAATGGGCCCAATAACAAGAAACTGGCCCATCTCAACATTCCCCCTCAAGTTGGGAGTAAATGTCACACATTCCCAACTTGTGTAGATCATGCTCCAGTTTGTTCCTTGCAACACCTTTTGTGAGAACATTAGCGAGCTGCAGATCAGAAGCAATGTATGGAAGACAAACTTCCCTAGAAGTCACTCTTTCTCTGATAAAATTCCTATCCACTTCAATGTGCTTAGTTTGGTCATGCTGGATTGGGTTATGGGCAATGTTAATTGCTATCTAGTTATCACAGTACAACATCATAGATTCTTCTGCCTATACACCAATTTCTCCTAATAGGGAACGGATCCAGAGAAGTACTAAAACTCCATGTGCCATGGCCCTGTATTCAACTTCAACACTTGATGTTGCCACCATTGTTTGTTTCTTATCTTCCATGAGACAAGGTTACCCCCAATAAGGGTGCATATTCCTGAAGTGGATCTCCTGTCATCAAGGCATCCTGCTCAATCTGCATCTGTATAAGCCTCTAGTTTCAACTGTTCATGATCAGTAAACAATATGCCTCTGCCCGAGTGTCCCTTCAGATAAGCAAGAATCTTGTCAACAGCCTCCTAATGTTGGACTCGTGGAGGATGCATGTACTGACTTACCACACTTACTGCATAGGAAATGTCTGGTCTCGTCATACACAAGTATAGTAGCCGACCCACAAGTCTCTGATATCTCTCAATGTCCTTTACTGGCTCACCTTTTGATGCATTGATTATGTGGTTCTGATTACTAGGTGTACTGATTGCCTTCGTTCCAAGCTTCCCTGTTTCTTGAAGAAGATCCAAGACATACTTCCTCTGAGAGATAAAAATACCATGTTTTGATTTTGCAACTTCGAGCGGTGAGGACCAAGGATATGTGCAAAGCAGACACACCCAAACACCTTGAGAGGAATATGAAACATCTCCCCCTTAGGAAAAAGGAGACTGGATGGGGTGTTGAATCCAAGTATACGAGAGGGCACCCTGTTAATCAAATATACTGTTGTGAGGACTGCATCACCCCAAAACCGAATTGGAACTGTAGAGGTGATCATCATGCTTCTTGCAATCTCAACAATGTGTTTGTTCTTCCTTTCTGCAACACCATTCTATGGTGGATTGTAGGAACACCTGCTCTAATGGACAACACCATATTCTAACAGATATTAAGCAAGGTGTTTTTCAAAATATTCCTTGGCATTGTCTGATCTGAACACCTTTATTCTTGTTCCAAACTGTGTTAGCATCACCTGATGAAATTGCCTCACCAAGGATGGTACTTCATCGCGGGATCTCATCAAGTAAATCCAAGAGTATCGCGAGAAATCATCCACAAATAAGAGAAAATATTGATAACTTCCCATAAAAGGAACATGGTAAGGTTCCCACACATCAGAATGAATAATATCAAAAGAAGAACACCTTTTATTACTAGCTTTAAATGAATGTCTACAATGCTTTCCAAGTTGACAACCTTCACACTCCAGACTTGACAAATTGACAGACTCAAAAAGTTTTGGAAACAAAAGACTCAAAGAAGAAAAAGGCAAATGACCCAAACGATTATGCCAAAGCATAATATGATCCACAGACCTTGACTCACTATCCTTGCTGACATGATGACTCTGATAGGAGGAAGCACATTCAGGAGGTAGATTCCATTCACTTCACGACCACTCCCAATCGTCCTCTTTGAATCCAGATATTGCAAGATACAATGACCAGGAGAAAAAATTACTGAGCAATTCAAGTTCTTAAGCAAACCACTAACAGATAACAAATTAGTGCTCAATCTGGGAACATGAAGGACAAAGGGAAGGGAAATAGAATCACTAATCTTGGCAGATCCCTTCCCAGCAATGGGAACATGGGATCCATCAGCTGTGGAGACCCTATCTCTGCCAGAACAGAGCTGGTAAGAGGAAAAAATAGTAGAGCTATGGGTCATGTGCTTTGAGGCTCCAAAATCTATAATCCAAGGAGGTCCCTCCTTATCTGAAGTAGAAACATAATTTGCCGTGACATGTGAACTACCTGTATGAGTAAAGGAAGTAGAGTGAACTCCACCAGTACAACCTGTACCTTGTTGTCCGCCTATTGCTGAACTAGAACTGCCTATATCCCGTTGGTTTAGAAGCTGCCCATACCTCTCAAGTTTGGCCCTTGCTGCAACAGCTGCAACAGACTCCAGAGCAACTGTAGTAGGAGGGGCCGGAATGTCACCAGTGACTGCCATGTGAGCATTTCCCTTCTTATTTTTCAGTCTATTCGGCACAAGATGTGGGTGAAGCTTCCAACAAGTATGTCGTGTGTTTAGGCTTCTTACAGTAGTCACAGATCAAATCTTTTTTATCTTCCTTCTTGATTTCACTGCCACCCTGATCTCCACCTTATTTAGGTCTCATAGTACTCACCATGGCTGATTGATCAAAAACAGGATTTTTCATCATCACATCTCTCCTGCTCTCCTCCCCTGATACAAAAGCATATGCCTGGGAGAGGGTAACAGTGTCCCTAGAAAGAAGATGTTGTCTTGCAATATCATACTCAGGATTAAGGCCAACAAGAAATTCAAACACTCTATACTTCTCTAGATGTTTCTGATAGGTAGCTGCATCCTTAGTGGTTTCCCAAGCAAATGTCTCTAAATGGTCACTCTCCTACCACAGGGTTTTAAGGGCTGAAAAATAAGCTGCAATAGGTCTATCTCCCTGCCTTGTAGCAATAATATGATTTCTGCAACTCCATCCCATATTTCCTTAACTGTATTTGCCATTAAAAAATTATTACTTATATGGGACAACATGGAATTACACAACCAAGTCATCACCATATAATTCTCCTGTACCCATCGGGAGTTGCTAGTCTCGGGTTTCACTTCTTCACTAGTGATATACCCTAATTTCCCACGAGCACCAATGGCCATCTTTGTAGATTGTGACCATTCTAAGTAATTTGAACCATCCAACTTAACTGTAGTAATGGTCTCAGTCCCGAAAAGGTCTCTAGCACCTCCTCCCACTGGTCCCATTTCACTCTTGGGCTTATTTTCAACTCCGTGACCCTCCATGCTTCTCAAAAAGTGCAAAGAAAATAACTATATAATGCAAGAAGATCAAAAGAAACACTTCTGGAACCAACAACACCTTTCTGGTGCCCTAGATAGTCCTCCCACAAAAGATTCCTTTTCTGCGGGACGGGAGAAGAGAGAGAAGAGGCAGCCGCTCTCTCCAGAAGCCTCCAAATCAGGTAGGACTTGAATTGCTCCCTACAGAAAACTCCAAGGAACCCTAAAAAATTAGGTTGCCACTTCCTAGGTCAAAATTGAAGAGTCCAACAGAAATAAGACTCTCATTCTTTCTCCAGTTTTTCCTGATTTTGATGAGAAACCCTAGACCAGCTACAAGGCAAATAGATCCACCAAAAAATCCAAAAACTGGGCTTACCTGAGATCTTCGATCAGCCTCTTAAATCACCATGTAGTCGGCCGATCTAGGGCTGCATGAGAACAACTCAAGGAACCTTCGGCCTGCTCTGATACCAAGTAGAAATTATTGATTGCAGATTTAGATGAATTCCTTGTGAAGAGAAAGAAGAAGAAGATGAAGAGTTTCAGCAATAGAGAAGAAAAGTGTAGGAAGTCAACCAGAATTGAATTAGATCTGGCCGCCAACCCCTCATTATAATTTATCTTAAAGAATGAGGTATTACAAGAACGCCCTTAATAGGGCGGCTACTAAAGTAGCTGAACAGTCACAACTTAAAAACATAAACTAATGGGCCTAAAACCTAACAACTTCCTAACTTAATAACTTAAAATAAGAATAAAAAAACAAATGGGCCCAATAACTAGAAACCAGCCCAACTCCAACAGTTTTTATATTCTTCTAATGTTTCATGAATGAAAGTAGTTAAGCACATATACCTGATTCAGTGCTTGCTAGAAAAGCAGAATTCCTGGAACATGAAATATTATAGATAAGTAGTTTTTAGGTTGATCTTATATTAACTTATTAATTATTCCGTCTCCTCCCCCCACCCAAAAAAAATAAATAAATAAATAATTGATAAAGAAAAGAAAAATGAAGAGAAAACAACGAATGATGTATGAGTTTTATAATCTTAACCCTGAATTGGTTAATGATTTTGTTTTTAATCTGCAGGGCTTCTGCCATTTTTGTTGGTGTATATGAACCTACAAAGCAGAAATTATTGCAGAGCTTCCCTGAAAACCTTAGTGCTGTTGCTCATTTGGTAAGCAGATATGAACTGATGGGATTTATCTATTTTGGTAATTTATTACAAGAATACAATCAAAATTTCAGTTAAGACCATTTTGATTTGTTATACAAAAAAAAAAAGGTCTCTGTACCTAGTGGAATGTAACAAATCATTGACCTTTCTTTTCTGTTCTCTTTTTATTTTTATTTATTTTTTGATAGGAAATGGTATTCTCTTCTCTTTTTAATTGACAACAATAAAAAATGAGTATTCATACAAGAAATAAATGGTAGTACAGAAAAAAATGTCATGTTGGTGTCTATTGTTTGAGTATTCTTTTACTGCACATATATATATATATATTCTCACTGGTGGTGAAACTAGGGTTTATGAGAGAACTTTATTCTTTAGAAGCTAATTTCAGTTGTGACTACAGTGAATTTCACAGGGGTTCATGCATGGGCATGAAAAATCTGTTTTTTCCCCTTTTTTTTTCTTTTCTATTTCTTGCAATTGAGAAACATTTTCTATTCCACATAATAGGTGAGCTTTCCTTTGTTTTTTTCTAAAGGATTATCAGACTCCATGTAGACTGCAGGTGCCATTGGTGGAGCTGCTTCTTCTCTCATTCGTGTACCAACAGAGGTTAAGTTGACTTCTTCAGTCCCTATGCTCTAGAACCACTTCACTTGGCTTGTTCTCATCTTCAGCAGCTTCCAGGTTGTCAAACAAAGAATGCAGACTGGACAATTTGCTTCAGCTCCTGATGCTGTCCGCCTTATAGTTGCCAAGGAGGGTTTTAAAGGTCTTTATGCGGTATGATATTCTATTTCCCTTATTTTAAAATTACCAATTCAAGAAGCCACTTTGTTCTGAAATTATGCCTTCGATACCACTTTCTTGTATTACTGAAAGAGTTAAAGCTTTTGCTATTACAATGAGTAGCTCATTGGGTAAAGACATTAGAAGACTTGTATTTTCAACAGAGATACATCATTAGAAGTTGGAATGTGGTGGCTTCCTCTTCAACTAAGAGGAATAGCTCTTGATTTTCCCAAGAAGTAAAATATTGTTAGTGTATTAGCATAGTTTTCAAGGTGCCTAGTCACCTAGTCGCGTAGGCGATAAAAATTGTTGAAGATTAATTAGTTTTATGATGTTTTTCTAAGTAGATGTTTTATGTTAGTTGTTAGATAGGAGGTGGGGACCACAGTAGTTATGTGAGTCCAAATTTTATTATGTTTTTGAGTGTTATATATGCTGTTTTATGTTTTGCCGCCCTATAAGGGCATAGTTGCCTTTGT